GGATGCCCCGGCCGCATCCCCTCGGCGGCGTGCCCTGCCCGGTGAGTCAGTGTCTGGCAGCCCCGCCGGGGCTCGGGGAGGGGGAGTTTGTTATGTCTGCAGCCGGAGGCGCGGGGAGACCCCGGCCCGGCGCCAGCCCCGCGCTGGGGGGGCTGGGGGGACCCCGGTGCTGTCACCCTGGGGAGGGGGCACAGCCCCGCGTTCCCCTGTGCCCCCTCCCCGCAGGTGGCCGGCAGGAAGGGGTTCCCGCACGTCATCTACGCCCGGCTCTGGCGCTGGCCCGACCTGCACAAGAACGAGCTGAAACCCGCCACCTTCTGCCAGTTCGCCTTCGACCTCAAGTGCGACAGCGTCTGTGTCAACCCCTACCACTACGAGCGCGTGGGGACCCCCGAGGGCGGTGAGCCGGGACCCCCGCGCGGGCGGCTGCCGAGGGGGGGGTCACCGGCGCCCCTAATCCCGCCCCCTCCTCTCCCGCAGGTCTGAGCATCCCGGGCACAGGTGAGACCCCGGCCCGGGGCCGGCGGGGAGCCCCCCCGGAGCCAGCCCAGCCCCCCGCAGCGGCTCCCCGTGCCCCCCATGGTCTCCGGTGTGTGTCCCCCGCCCTCCCCAGTGCCCCCTCCGCGCCCGGTGAAGGAGGAGTTTGTCCATGACTGTGTGCAGATGGAGCCCCCCGCCCGGCCCCACCCAGCGCTGCCCCCCCGGCGGCCCCCTGAGCCCCCCGGCGTGCCCCGGCCCTACCCTGCGCTCCCCATGGCGCCCCGAGGTGAGACCCCCCCTTAGCCCTGACCCTGCGAGGGTTTGGGGGCATCACCCTCAGCCCCCCACCCCGCAATGACCCCGGTTCCCATATTCCCCCACAGCGACCCCCCAGGACCCCCTGCTCCCCCTGGCCCACCCCGAGGGCCCCCCGCAGGACGGGTACCCCAAAGCACCCCACCACAGTGAGTATGGGGGTACCCCGCTGCTCCCCGACCCCCCTGGGGGGACCCTCCTTATGTCCCCCCCGTGTCCCCCTGCAGGTTCACCGCTGAGCTGGAGCAGTGCCACCATCTACACCCCGAGTTTGGGGGGGTCGCAGCCCGCCCCCCCACAACATCCCAGCAGCCAGAGCCACCCCCAGCCCCCCCAGCACCACCCCAACCACTGCTGTAGGTTTGGGGGACACTGAGCGAGGGCTGGGGGGGGTCTTCAGGGTGCTGACCCCCTCTCTGCCCCTCCCAGGGCCCCCCGTGCTCCAGCCCCCCGTGTCCACCCACCCCGGTGAGTGCCCCCCACCCTCCTTAGCACCCGTGGGTGCCGTGACCCCCCCTAAAAATCCCGCGTGCCGCCCGCCAGGCCCGGAATTCTGGTGCTCCATCGCCTACTTCGAGCAGGACGTGCAGGTGGGGGAGATCTTCAAGGTGCCCTCGAGCTGCCCCACCGTGGTGGTGGACGGCTACGTGGACCCCTCGGGGGGCGCCCGCTTCTGCCTGGGGCAGCTCTCCAATGTGCAGCGCTGCGCGGCCAGCGAGAGGGCACGGTGGGTCGGGGGGCACGGGGGGCATAGGGGATCAGCAGGGGCATGGGGGGC